ACGTTATTTGCAGAACTTAAAAGATCAACTTCAGATGATGTTGGAGCTGATGCTGCCCCACACACTTGGAGACATTTTAAACGTGCACCTAAAGAAGTGATAATCATTGGATCATTTGGGAATCATGAACAATGGAAGCTACCGTTAGTAAATAATTTGCATTATTTTATAAATTATAATTTTACAGTGGAACAATTGTATCACCAAAGTCAATTCCTGTTGGTCTAGAAGGATCGTATGAAGATTGGATTGCAGAGGAGGTTAAAAGCATAGTTGAAATTTATTTAAAAAATCCAAAAAGATATGAATTGAAAGACATTCCAGAAAAGGAAAAGTCAAGACAGTTTTATCTTGATAAAATTAAATCATTATTTGAAAACTGTAAGAAGGATGAAGGTAAGAAATATTTTAGAATAATATCATACTATAAACTTTATTTAATAGCGGTCATATATTATACTGGTCATGGAGAGAAGGACACTGGTAACTGGTGCTTTAAAGATGGAGTGATATCATTCAATGACATCTTTGAATTATACATGATGCATTTCAGGGGTAAGTCTCTACAGATAGTGTCTGATTGCAGCTATTCTGGAAAATGGATACACAACTGTGGCAAAAAACTAGATGAATATGGAATACTGTCTTGTGGACATAAAACCAGTGAACAAAGGATACTATTCCAGATTTTCACATCATGTCAACCTCATGAAGAAGCTGGACTACTCACATACAGCAGAAAAGGAATGAAATACAGCAAAGAAGATAAAGGTGTTGTTATATATTATGATGAAGAAATAAAAATGGAACCAGCCCAAAAAGGACAAAACCCAATGCTGGTTGACTTCAGACACATCCACTGCTACAAGATGCCTGAAGATCAGTGTGAATTGGACTCTACTTGCACTTGGGAGGATCATCTTAGCAAGAAAAGAGATCGAATTGTATTCCTGGTTGACAATAAACATGACAAGTTTCCCAGTTGGTATTATTTGCTAATTTCTGAAGACACTTTTGATGAATTCAAAGGTAAGCAGGATAAGGGAGGCATTGGGGTTGAAGAAGCAACAAAATATGGCAAAGTCTTATACTCTGGACCAGGACAGAATCCTCCAAGTGATGTAAAGAAAAAGCTTAACCTGAGATTTGATATGAATACTTACGCTTCATACAAATTTTTGCTGATTTTTATATAATTTCGATTAGATCATTAGTTTTGCCAACTACAAATTTTATTATTGATTAATAATAAACTTTGCACAATACAATTAGTACAGTATACATAAGCACAATTGGCATAAGTACATTAATATGTATCAGAAAATGTAATAAAAATTTTGGGTGTTGCGGAGCCATTTAGGGTATGTTTCAAAATTTTGACATTTTTTATGACTGCAACTTGAAAATCTGAGCTCAGAATCTACTCAAACATTACATAGCATAGATCTAATTACATCAATAATGTATCAATACAAATTAATTTTGGGCAAGGAGCCCATAGATAATAGAGTATAAACTAGAACAAAAAAATTTTAAAAA